TCTGATCATTTCACACACACACACCCCCCATGACTAGCTGATGAGGGGTGCAGAATAAGCAGTGGGGGTCTTCCTGGAGAAAGCTCTAACCTCATTAGCCCCATAGAACTTTAAGCAAAGCCATTCCAAGGCCTTCTCAGTTGCTGATTGATGGCCAGAGAAAATGCACACCTCTGATGCATTTACAGCCCCAGCTGAGCTCCTCCTGGGCTACCTGGCAAGCTCTTATATCAAGGACAGGAAGGAGTAAGTCTGTAAGGAGTTAGCAGGAGGTCCTTGGCAGCCCTCTGGACCAATGGCCCACCTCTGCACCACCTCTCACCAAGTCAGCCAACGAGGATGCCGTCCTCATGAGAAAAAGCCCTCCTAGGCCAACAGTTCCTTCGTTGCCTGAGCCACTGCACCTGTTACTCGGGGGGGGGGGTCCCCCAGGGAAGCCCCTCGCCTGGGGATAAAGCCCCTTCCCCTTCCCACCCAGCCCAGCCTGCAAAGAGCAGACCGGGTGCTGGCAAGCATCCCGTTATTAACTTGGCTGTCAATCGTTCCAGCATCTCAAAAGTTGTACAAGTCATCAACCGGGGTGGATTTCAGAGAAGCCGCATCAGCTAATTTCTGTAATAGCTCATAATTGATTCCCCTCCATCGTCTCCTAGAAACCATGAAGCCTCCTCCTCCTTCTCCTCCTCCTCTTCCTCCTCCTCCTCCTCCTCCTCCACCTGCTGCCTCGTCTCTGGCTTCCAAGACTTCCCGCCAGGACGCGCTTGTGGTCTGCTGATCCCCCCCCTCAACCTGTGCCGCAGAACAAAAGGGGCAGAGGGGGCGTGGGGGGGGGCATGGGTGCCCGTGCCTGGGTGAGGGAGAAGGATCCGTGGGAGTGTGAGAGACAGGAGCCAGCCGCCCGGAGTTTCTGCGCGGAGGCAGAATTCTCTCTCTCTTGCATTCGACACAATCCTCTAGAGAGGAAACAAGACATTCCGCCATGAGCTCTGAATACGCCAATTAGCCAAAAAACCTGGGAGAAACTTTCGCCTTTTTTAAGCCAGAGAAATAAATGAAAGGGGGCCCCCTGGAATCCGTGCAGTCCTGCCCTGCTCTTAGGACGTCTCATGGCTGGCTTCAGTTCAGCCATTCAAAACCAACCTTGGAGGAAAGAGGAGAAAAAAAAAATCTGAAATGGGAACGACACCCCTGCAGAGCAGGCCTTTGGGGAACCTTCTTTAGAAGGGGAGGGGGTTTGTGGGGGTTTTCTCTTTTGCTGAGAGCTTTTGCGACAGGGTTAGGGTAGATCAGCCTCCGGATTAACCATGGTTTAACGAATAAACCACCATAGGGAGGATTAACCATGGTTTAACGAATAAACCACCATAGGGAGGTTTCACACAACAGGTGTAAGACACAGGACCAGATTGGCAAGCCACAGGGCCGAGTTCAGCCATTCAACCACCTGAAGCTCATCTTCCACCTCCTCCACACCAGAAGCCAAGACCGACAGACAGCAAAGCGGCGGCAGGATTCTTCCACAAATCTCCCGGCCTCCTTGACCATCATCTGCTGCCACCAGGACGGGAGTCAAGGCGAGGTCACCCGGGGGCCTGGGCCCCGGCCTCGGACCCCAGAGGACAGGCGCAGCTCCGTCTTTCCCTCGCCCGCTCCAACTCGCCGGGCTACCGAGCCAGTCGGACGCCGAGTCCGAGACGGGTAAGGCAGAAAGCGAGGCGTCCCCCCCACCCCGCCCTCGGGGAGGGCCAAGCGGGCCCGCCGTTCTTACCTTGGCCCTCATCTGGCCCGAGGTGGAGACTTTGCGGATGAGCCGGTGGGAGCCGCCCTCCTGCTCGCCTTCGCTGTCCGTGGACTCCTCGCCCGGGGCCAGCCGGTCCATCTCCAGCGAGACCACCGACTCGCGGCCCTTGCGCAGGAACAGCTCTCCCGGGGGGGCCAGCTTCTCGCCCATCCTCCGCTCGGGGAGACGCCGCGGTGCTCTGGAGGAGAGGCCGGGCGGGCGTCAGGCACGGGGCCCTCCGGAGCCGCTTCCTCTTTTACCCCCTCCAGCCGTCAACGGGGCCAACAAAACGGCTCCCCCTCCTCGCCGCCCCCGGCCCAGCCACCCCCGGGAATGCGGCGCTGCGGGGCGAGAAAGCCGCCGCCGTTGTTCCCGGGCTCCCGCGCAGCCCCTCCGGCGGACAGGTGGTTGGCGGAGCGGGGGCGGCCCTGGCCCCTGCGTGGTCTGCGGGGGCGCTCTGCTCCGGCGGCCTCGACTTCGTAGCGGGCGACCTACCGCGGGAGAAGAAAAAGCCCGCTGGCTCGAGCCGAGGCAACGTCCGTCCGTCCGAGCCCTTCGGCTTCTCCGCAGCGCCGCGGGGAAGCGCGCGCGCGCCGCTTTCGGGCCTCGTCACCANCTCTTCAAGGGCAGCCCCATGTAGAGCACGTTACAGTAATCCAGCCTTGAGGTGACGAGGGCGTGAGTGACTATCCGAAGGGGCTCCCTGTCTAGGTAGGGTCGCAATTGGTGCACCAGGCCTCGCCTCCTGCAGCAGCCTGGAGCCCACGGGAGGGAATTTGCCCCCAGGGCCTGCAGTGCGTGAGGGAGGAAAGAGGCCGCTGCCTTCGCCGGGAAGATCGCGGATTGTCAGCCAAGGCGGCGACTGCAATCTGACGCCAATATCCAGCAGAGGAGGAGAAGGGAGACCGCGTGGGGGGCTATCCTGACGATCGGCACATTAATCTCCCTCTCCCCCCCCCCTCTCCAAATTAAGCACCTTTCAGCTCTGAGGGCAGCAAACGGAGGGCAGACTCCGGCAGGAAGAAGAGCTGGGGTCACCTTGCCCAGCTGGCAGCAGCCCCAAACAGAGTCCCTCTTAACACCCAAGGTGGCAACGGCAGCAGGGTGGGTGGAGGGGGGATGCTGTTATCATCAGCGGACAGGAACAGCTAAAAACAGCCTCTGCCGGATTGCCTGGTCAGAGACGGAGGGAAGGGTGGGGCCGAGAGGAGCCCCGCTCAGCCCAGGAGGGGCAGCTTGGGATGCCGCCGCTGGATGCCCATCCTCGGCTGCCCCCTCGGGAAGCCCTTGTAGAAGGCAGCCTCGACCTCTTCACGGGCTGGCTGGGAATGTTTGGGGATCCCTATTTAATATAGGGAGTTGTTTGTCTCATGTGAATTGGGGCGGGGGGCTTCCAAAGAATGGCTGTAACAGACTCCTGAGAGCCCTCCTCCCCCAGGAGACCCACCACTTGGGCAACCTTGGCAGCCAGCAACCCAAAAGGAAAGCCTACCGTTAGGGGGGAGATGGCGCCTTGTTTCCTTCTCCAAGGAGCAGCAATGGAAGGGACGGACTCCTGAAAGCGGGAGAGACCCAGGATGGCCTGGCGTAAAGAGGCGAAAGGCCAGTGGGCTGCCCTGATCCCGCCTCCTTCCAGCCGCCTGGCAAAGTGTTTCCGACAGGCAGAATCATAACAGGGACAGCCAGGCCTGCTAAATGCAGCGCAGCCAGGCAAGGCTAAACCTAGAGAGGAGGGGGCAGCCTCACAGCCCCCCACCCCCAAGGACAGGAAGCCTTGAAGCTTGGCAGCAGGGGGCACACGCCCCCTGTGGTGTGGCCACTTGGCACAGGCCTGGCCTGTGCAAAGCAATCCTGGGGTCTGCTCCCTGCCTGGGAAGAGCCCAGTCCCCCTACCCGGAAGCCAAGCAGATGCTGCTCTCCCTTGCGAGAGACGATGCCCCCACCCCACTGCTGTGCCTCTTGGCTCCCCACAAGGGCACAAGGCTACTTGGGTCCCTGTTTTCCTTCGCCCATCCCAGTGAGGGGCACGCAGTCTGCAGGCCCCCAACGAGAAGGGCAGGGCATCTCCTTTTGCTAGGCGCAGCCCGCTCTGTTCCCTGGCAGCAGCTCAGTGGGGAGAGAGACCCCTTCCTCCTTCTTCCCTGCCGCTGCCTCCTCCTTCGAGCCTTTGTTAGGGGGCCAGTTGCTGACCCACCCAAGGAAGACGGTGCCCTTCCTCTACTGAGCAGTGGGTGCAAATCCTCTCCTGCCCCCCCTTTGCCAGGGATTCTCTTCATAGCCCTTTAAGGACCTTGTGGCCGCTGCAGCTTCTTCTGGGAAGGCAAAACATCCCCCTGCTTTGGGTTGCAAAAAACGGGAGGGAGGGAGGGAGCACAGCTTCAGGGGGGTCTGTGCCCAGAGGCAGTGGAGGGAGGTGGGACGTCCACCCCAGAAGGTGCCGTAGAGCCCCCAATTTTCTGGGAGGGGCTTCATCCCGGGCTCCTCCCCCTGAGCAACTGCAGGCAAGGACCCCGAGGGGAAGGGCTGGCTCTCTGAACTGCTTCAGCCCGGCCACAGGAGAGCTCTCCAGGGTGCTGGGAAGAGGCAAACCCAGGGATTCCCGAGCTGCCTCCCTTCGCTCCGCTCGATGTTTGGCGGTGCCTCCTCCGCTCTGCACCCCTGCTCAGCTTCCTTCGGTCAGAAGGAGCCACCTTCCACGCCAGGAGCAGCCCAGGTCTGCTCCGTTTGCCCAGAGCAAAGCACCCCACAAGTTGGGCAAGGCTGGGAGCCAGGCAGATGGCCGCTTCAGGCCAGCAGCCCCCTCTTTCTGCTTCAGCGTCTGCAGCGGTGACTCATCACAAGCGAGACTCACAAAGGAACACACTGCCACCACCACCACCACATTCACAGCACCATGTGAGCCCCCCTCCCCCAAGTGTGATCTGGCACAGCTGCTGCCCCCACCCGAAAAGGGGCATCGGGGGGCGGGGGGATGGGACAGGAACCCTTCAGGCTTGCTTCTGGTCAGCAATGGTTCCCAAAGCAGCCCGTAGGCTCCTTTCTCCTACAAATGGTCCAGCTATTCCCTCTCTCTGGGCAGCAACACACAGTTGTGTGCGCTGCCTTGAGGAAAAAGCAGAGGAATCGCACGTCCTTGGGCTGCAGCAGCCAGAGAGGGGGAGAGTGGGAGGGAGGGAGAGAGAAAGAGAGAGAAAGAGAGGGAGGGAAGGAGAGAGAGAAAGAGGGAGGGAGGGAGAGGGAGCGAGGGGGAGAAAGAGAGGGAGGGAGGGAGAGAGAGAAAGAGGGGGAGAGAGAGAGGGAGGGAGGGAGAGAAAGAGAGGGAGGAAGGGAGAGAAAGAGAGGGAGGGAGGGGGAGAGAAAGAGAGGGAGAGAAAAAGAGAGAGAGAGAAAGAGAGGGAGGGAAGGGGAGAGAAAGAGAGGGAGAGAAAAAGAGAGAGAGAGAGAAGGAGGGAGGGGGAGAGAAAGAGAGGGAGAGAAAAAGAGAGAGAGAGAAAGAGAGGGAGGGAGGTGGAGAGAGAAAGAGAGGGAGAGAAAAAGAGAGAGAAAGAGAAGGAGGGAGGGGGAGAGAAAGAGAGGGAGAGAAAAAGAGAGAGAGAGAAAGAGAGGGAGGGGGAGAGAAAGAGAGGGAGAGAAAAAGAGAG